GTTGGAGCTGGAGCTGGAGCACCCACAGAGCGTGGCACGCGATAATCAATCAAAAGCCATTAAAGCCAAACGATTTTCAAAACTGAATTTTCAAAACAAAGCTGGGCACAAAGACAATGAATCAAAGTAGAAAGCATTTCATCAGAAGTACGCAGCCGCAATGCCCAAAGGAGTGGCAAAAATCATCTACGCACACAGCATCGCTGCATCGGCTGCCGTCAAGACAAGTTAAAGATCAAAATCGAGAAATTAAAAGAGTAAGAAATATACAAAAAAAAAAAAAAATAAAATAAAAAAACAAAAACAAGATCAATAGAGCACGAGCTTGACTGGTTAGGCAGACAGTTGCAGTTGCAGATGATTGACGGAATTAGAATAATCGTATGGAAATCGTGCGGGTATACCGAAAATAGATGATAACATTTATTATTAAATGGCCCAGTTAAGAGAAGGCTATTGGGCCTTCAAGTAAAAAGTGAAGGCGTTCCACAATTCGAGAAGAATGTCGCAAGAGTCTGCAGACTGAAAAGTCTTTCGTCTGTGGCCTCGGAAGTCTGCCAATGTCGCTCAGACTTTGGCAAATGCAAATTTTTTTATTTTTTTTTATTTAAACTGCATTTTGGTGCAACTTTCTAAATGAAATTCCAATCGCATGCCGTCTCGCTTGCACAGCTAGCATGCCATCTCGCTTGCTGCATGTGTGCGCAAAATTAAAGAAATAATTTCAAGCGAAAATATACAAATTGATTGTCACCTGGCAGGCGAGCGAGTTAAACCTTTGTAGAGCGCTTGGACTAAATCAAAGCACCTTTCTCCATTTATCGGCCAGACACTTAGCCATGGCTAATACATATAAATTTTAGCATAGTGCTCCGGCATACACACGTGTCAACGACTTCCAGTCAACTGGCGTTGAGTGTGGGGTGGACTGGGTTTGACGCTGGGCAGGGGGGGGAGGTGCGCGGGCGCCGTTGGGCTCAATTAGAGACGCGTCCGCCAAATTGCTCAGCACCTTTTTTATTGTCGCCAGTTGGCAACGCCGGCAACGGCGGCGTCTCTCGAGGATATACATTTTGTGGCATTTTGTCGCGACGCCTTCAATGTCTCAGGTTTCCAGCTGCCCCTGCCCGCCTGTCCCCCCCATTTGCCCATGCCACTACTCTCCCCTCGCCAATCAGTCACTCAATTGTGATCGTGCGCGTAATTGTCTTTGACAAGCTACGCAGCTTGCAATTCGCCATTGCAACTTTAACTTCAACTTCGACTGCAACTGCAACTGCAACTTCTTGTTGGCATTTTGTTTGACTTGGATTAAGTTTAAGTGCATGGCTTAAGATTCCCAGCATTGTTGGCTAAACGTTGGTTCGATCGTTGCGATCATCTGTATTCCCCCCCCTACAACCCGCAACGCAGTTAACCTTGCATAATCATGTTAACCAGTTCCAACTATGGGACAGCCGCTGGCACCACACGTGGCCTTTTGTCTGCCCAAATAAGGCCAAACATAACTATAATCATATCACAAGTATAAATTTCATAAAATGTTTAGGTCTCCTTCTTTTGGATGATTTTGGAATATAATAATATATTAACATTAGTCCAGGAACATTATCTCTATAAAAATATAAATGTAGCCAGTCAAAAGAGAATTGTGATGCCAAACTCCAAATGTAAAGCAATTTGCAATCTCCAACTTTCTTAGGCATTAAAATGTGTCCATTTTTTTATTAGCTCAAATATTATGTCTTACAGGCGATTTATTTAAATTTATCGTACCCTTAGGTGGGAGCAACAAAAGGTTTAGTTAGGCTCAGACCGGCTGGGTTTCATGACAACTTTTACCCATTTGACAACCATTTTCACTGGCGTTGCATGTCGATCACGGAGACACTTGCAAGGTGGACAAACGCCGACGTTGGCCATTCCTTGGATTATTCCACACATACAAACAATCGCCCGCCCTAGCTGGCCACCACATCCAGCACAGCCTAACTGGTATTTGCCAATTTGAGCATGCAAAAATGATTTTATTGTTGTCAGAAAGTCGATGCTGGCACTGGGAAAACTCCTCGTCCGCAGTCACTACGTCATGTCCATGTCCAAACGGTGGCCCCAGGCGATCTCTTGTGCAGCATTCGACCAAATATTAGCACACAATTCGATTTTGCATGCCATGTCAGGTAGTAAATTTTTACGAGTGCAAGTGGCGAGTTTTTCTTCATGACTCTCCATTTGGAGTCGGGCCAGCATCTCCTGGGCTTAATCTGGCCATGACCATAGCCAGCTGCGCTTTTCGCTTTCACCTGTTGGACGCAGTTATGTAAAATCTACTGTCAAATTAATGGTGATTTATATGTGGGCCATAATGTGCGCTTTATACCCATATATATGGTCAAATTTTGTTGCGGCCTCAAGGAGTTTGAGTTTCTTAGCTAATGTATGGAAACACCATAGTACAATGACGTTTATTGACTTAGTCTGGTTCCCAATTTAGATAGTTGTCAGAAATGAAATGTCTGAGGGCGTTGGTCTCAAGTTGTGGGAGGTGTCTCGAGTTTAGGATCTTAAAACCAATTAAAAGTCAATATATGTTGCCTACCAAAATACTTCAGACCGAAAGCGACTCTTGCTGTCAAAATACAATTATAGGATAGGGTCTCGTATATGAAGCTTGAGGTTTTCAGCTAGTTTGCAATTTCTCAAAGTATCTTTAATATTTTAAGAGCAGCGTATGCTAATACGCTCCAAGTTCTAAATCCTATTTCAGCACCTGCTGAGACTAGAATGGAAGCATAATAAACATTATTCAAAGAAGATAAACCGTCATAAGATTGACTTAGTCCAATTCTTATCAACACACGGTAAGGAACAGAAGATAAAATGCTATTCCTAGATATGTATCCCAGTTTAATTTTCGCTTCTAACCTTTTTACAGCGGTGTGAAGACTTGTCTTTGTAAGCGCTGGGAATTTTGTTAAGAATCGCAGTTTTGATAAAAAATAAACTTTGAAAGCTTTAGATCCCACACAAATTGATGTTTTATCGAGGGGAAAATGTAGGTTCGAACACAGCTTTTGTTTTAGGGTAACCTTATTGCTCTTCCCCCTTTCTCACTATCACTCCCAGATATTCTCTAGGTAAGGCTTTCAACTAAAAGCATTTCTCCATACACATAACATGACAGGCAATTTGTTGTTATTATTGTGGTTGTTGTTGTTGTTGTCGTTTACGTTGGTGTGGGCTTACATAGTTTTGAACATGTGTGCATCTAAAATGCCCATTAAAAAGTCACTTCACTTTCACTACCAATACGCATTCCTAGAATTCCGTTTGCAGCAGGGTCTGGCCAAGAGCGAAGCAACCGCCTCACGGTCTCGCCTGAAGTCCTTTGCTTTGGGCGTGTAGTAGGCATTGCAGCTGTTCGTCTTAAAGTTTTGTAGTTTGCATTGATTCAGTAGAAAGGATGTCTCCGACTTGGGTACCACCATCATGTTAATCCAATGCTGATTTATGCGGCAATAATTTTGTTCGCCAAGATCGCTTTGTTTCTCCAAATGTTTTGAGGGTTTGGAAATTAAACTGTCAGAGCTTGTACTATATAGGCATCTTCTTGAAGGTTTGATACACAAGAATTCCATGGAGAATGTTTCGGGCTGTTTAGCTTGCGTACAACCACCAGCCGTGCTGGTCTCGGTGTCTTTGCTGTAATTATGTCGTTCCGCGGACCGAAGCATATCTAAAAGATTTCTCAAATTCGATGACTCATCTTCAGTGCTGCTACTAAACTGCTGACCTTGCCTGCCGGCATAAAGTAATTTCAAATGATAATTCGGTTCCGATAGCCTCGACGGATTGTGCTTCCTAGCACGCTGACGCTTTAGATGGCTATCTTCCTCCAAACTATCGCTCTCCTCGTTTGGTCTGCGAGCCGTTGAGCTTCTTTCGTATCGCCTAACTGGCCTAGATTGGGAATTATAGGACCGGTGTTCATCTTGAAGCTGCATTGCGTTATTATGGCTTGTGCTCCCTAGGCTGTAGTCCTCAGAGCAAAGCGAATGGCCGCCGGGTGGCGTCTGATACTCCAGGCCCTCGTTATCCAACATATCTTGAATCAGCTCTGGTGTCAATGGTATAAGACGTTGATTGAAGTTGCGTAGTTGTTCACTCGGTAGCATAACACTTTAATTTTGATATATATTAAAATTTGGATTTCAATTAATGCCAAAAAGCTAGACAGATAATCCAGAGCCCTAGTGGAGAATTTTTTTTTTTTTTTTTATAGACTTCGCAAGTCAAGTGACGATATATGCAGAATCATTTATGAGATAGGAATAACATTGGTAAGTAAAAAACCCTGCCAGACCGCCTTGCTGAGATAACATTTGCCAATTTTCGATCCGGAACATATTAAAAATGTATAACAAACGGCATAATGATGCATTTCCTGTTTCAAGAAGCATTTATATGTAACAAGAGCACACCTACTTTTTTAATACCAGTGTAATTGAATTTCCTATATTCTCTAGTATCTGAAATACTTTCCTGTGATAAGCCACAAATATGTTAGTTTTTGCAGAGAATACAATTTTTCTATACTTACAAATATATTTAATTTTCTTCCATAATATATTAGATGTTCTGTTAGTTTTTTATCTTAGAGTCCGAAAAGGGTATGTGACGCGAGAAGAAGAAATAATTAAAGGGTTTCTGTGCGAGAAATAACTGCATCGAAATGTTGTCTATACTTTAACAATATACAAGAATAATGTTGCCAGATTTAGATGCCAAATTGATCGTAAGGCCAAGCCGTGAACGTATGATGAGATTTCACAGAGTTTTGGTGGCCAATAGACATAGGTTTACGAGACATTTGAGAGGGTTCCATTTTGACATGAATTTCGACCGAAAATAATATTGCTAGATTTAAATGTCAAATTGATTTAGAGGCCAATCCATGAAGAAATACCCAAACATATGAAAATCGGATGAAATTTGAACGAGTTATGATATTTAGGATACATAAATTTTGAGCAAGAAAAATGTTGCCTGATTTTTGCCATAAGAAACTATTGTACAAACCTTGATATTGTGTTAAATACTTGCAAGTAAAACACATCTTTGTTTTCTTTGCAAATACTATCAAAATTATAAATATTCATAGAAATTGGAATAGTTACATCCTGAGCACATATCGAAATACTTAAACCTGGTAGTGTACTTTGACAAGCATGATTGTTTTGAAGTCATTTCTATGTTGCATGTCTCTACGACTCGGGTGCGTCTTACTTGGTTACTTTATCATCCTGCACGGTTTTGCCAATGTGTATTTAGTTGTATTGGAATACGGACAAATTTGTCATCGCATGATCATGATTTGGTTTCTGCATGCGCAGATCAATATTATTGCTGGAATCTTATTACTGACTGTTGCATATAATGTGAGTGCCCTAAAATCTGGAGGTGACAAGATATTTCAGCACAGTGTTTCGACAGCCTCAAACACTCAACTATTTACTGCCCATACAAATAGTTGTGAAGCTCACGAGTTTAATTATCGAATTAATATTCTACCTGTTGATGTCCAGTGCCAGCATTGAAGATGAACTACTGGTCGCATACTCCTTTCTCTCGATAGGCAGTGAGTTGAAGATGCGCATAATTGAAAATTGAACTAATTAATTAATTAATTAACTTATGCGGTTCACAGCTACTATCTATGTAGTGATTGTTGTTTACTCCTTCTATCAGGAGACGGATAATTCATATTAAGCATTAGGTGTTGAATTAGAGACCAGAGGCTCGGCGGCTGCTGCTGCTGCTTATCATGGCCAAAAACGGTAGTTGGTACGGTCAACGTCAGCGGACTTAATCACAGCGTGTAGCATTTTGTGCCGTGATTAAACGCAAATTTATTAGACAAATGTTGCGCAATTGGTCGCCAGCATCAGGCTGCAGCGCATAAATCGTGCGGGCCCAATTGTCACCAGGCTCCAATTCAGGCTTTACACCCAGCCTAGAGCTTCAGCTTCATATGTGTATGTATGTATATGCAGAGTCTTTGGCTTAATTATCGCCGCACCGTTGCGCTACATGCGTGCTAATTGAGTGCGGTGACCAGTGACCAACTGACCAACTGAGCTGCTGAGCTGCTGAGCTGGCGACGCGGACATGGACTTGGGCATGAACGTGGACGTGGACGTGGACGTCGACGCCACGTCCTGCTATGATAACAACAACGCGACGACAAACGCACGCTGTGCCAAAATGAAAATTATGTTGCAATCCTCAATGCTCAGCGCTCTCGGTATTCAGGCAACTACTGATCTCTGATCGGGGGGCTTAATTAATTTCGTTGATTAATTGAAAGTGCGCCTTGACTTGCTTTTTTTTCTTTTTTTATGTATAGCTCTTATCTTCTGGTCACTCGGTTCATTCGCTTTGGCAGTGCAAAGTTGAAGGCAAGTATGAAAAATGTGTTCAACGAATACGTTTTGGGCTGTACTCGTATATTTCGGTAGTATGTTGAGGGCGTTGCCGTGGTACCAACCCTTTGGTCCATTACTCTTAACCGATACGATTCGATTATGGCTAAAATTATGACTGACCGCAGGGTAAAGGCCGCAACGGCAACGGCAACGGCAACGGCAACTGCAGCTTCAGTTACAATTACAATTACAATTCGAGTGTATTCAATAAATTCCCTTTGGGGAACATGCAGTTACCTAATTGGTTTTACATACATACAAAGTGGGCTTATAATAATCATGCACTTGGGTAGACTGCACAAAAATATATACGTTCTTTTATAGCTGCGTTTGTGAAATATGAGGTTTTCACTAAAGAAGCCACGTAGCTATATGTCCTTAGGAGTCACTAGATCTTAGATCTTAAGACTATATATTGAACTAGTGCTAGAATCAAGTGCCAACGGATTTTGTGTTTCTGTCCCTTTTGAAAATTAACTGAATTTGTACAAATATTCAACACAACTAAATATGGTTTGAAGTATAATAAACTCTTCGATGGGAGTAGATAGCTAACCCCTTAACTTGTCCGTATTCATTTGTAACCTATAGCAATACTAAGCGGCATTTAATTTACCTGTGCTGCACTCGCATTTGCCAGGGGCCAAGTCTGTGATTAATTAGCTTAAGTTAAAGTTGCAACTCACGCGAGTTTATTTATTTGTTATAGCGGTCTAAGAAATGGCCCATGCTGATTGTTGTTTTGCTTTACGTGACATTTTCAATCAGAGCATAAGCAGGAGCCACGCATTGCCGGCAAGTGAATGGCGCAAGTAGCGACAGGTTGCCCCCAATGACAACGGCAACGCGCAACGGCAACTTCAACTGCAACTTCAAGCCAATTCCAATAGCATGCAACGTAGGTGGCACTTGGACACATTTTTGAATTGCGCGCCCGTTGGCCAATTGTGAAACTTGGCCAATTGACTAACTGGCCAAGTGTCAAACTTGCCAAATTGAAAACGAAGTTACGATGCGGCTGCCGATTTGTTTATGCACCCTGCACATGCCTTACTGATTGCATATATATTTATACTCTTACACTGGGTATACACAATTTATGAAGTCAACAGGCATTTAACGATCCCATTGTATATTCTCTCAATAAATTTATTTTGAGTCGACTCGAAACGACGCTTAGGTTGAACAAATTCTTCTTCTATTTTGAATGTTTTTTTTTTTTTTTAAATTAAACAACTTATACAGAGGTCAATGTAATACGCTATTTGTTAATATGTTTGATTTGATTGTTTGTTTGATTATAATTCTCAAGATTTTAAAGGAGAAAAGGTTGGATAAAAGGTAATTGTGATTTCATTTTAATGCAAGGGTATTTAAGCTTCGGCGATACAAAAATAGCTCATTTTGCATCGTATTTATTTGTATTATTTGTATATTTTTGTTATTTCTGTATTTTAAATTTAATGAAATATTACGCGCACGTGTCAACAGAGCGATAAAATTTATTTACGCAGCACTGCGGGTCAAGTGAAAGCACATTTTGCTGGCATCTCGGGAATTCAGACGCTGTGCAGACCTTCAAATTGAATTTACGCCAGCTTCAGGAACAGCTTCGGGCTCGGGTCTTGGGCACTGGTTACTGGGGATCAGTGCCAAAAAATTGAAACTGACTGCTATAAAAATGGGCGTAGGGCATCCGCTCTGACACGCGGCCATATTTTAAATGTCAACAGGCGGCGGCAACTAACCGAAGATCTCGAAACCCGGCAGCAGCCACTGGAGCCACAACAGCCAAGGATGCGGCTCCGCACCGTAGTCGCCTTGTCCGTGTGCATCAAAAATTCAATAAAATACCATTAAATTACAAAATGAAGACAATTCATTTTTTTCCCTTCTTTCTTTTTTTTTTGTACATTTTTTGTTTTTAGTATGGATCGCTCTGGGGTCTGGCCAGATCTGTTTTTGGGGGATCGGGTTCTGTGTTGGGTTTATTATGCGCTGCATTTTGTATCTTTAAGCAGCAGCATTTAATGTCGCTTTGCAGTTATAAGCAATAAAATATGAAAATCTGCGCTTATAAATGTTGAAAACGACATTTATCGTAATATTTTATGAAATCAGTGAATATTCGGTGAATGGTTACAGCAACAACAGCAGCAACGACAACGCACGACAATGCAACATTGTTGTTCAAGTACCCCAAAAATTGACTTGCAATTGCATTTACTTTATGAGTTGGTTTTCTTAGGCAATTGATTGATGATAAATATTGGTCATTCATCTGTTATGATCGACTAGTTTGTTCCGAATAGCATCAAGTTGATTGGCCCGACAAGGTCAATAGTTTTGCTTGCTTATTAGGAATTTTCAATTTTTTTCTGGTCAATATCTTAATTTATAAAGCTGTCTCTCTGACTTTCTGACTGATCGACTTGTGAATGATCAACGTGTCTTTTGTGTCTTCGTTTATTCATAATAATTTGACACTGCGTCAGGAGTAAGTTTCGAATATTCTACACGAATATTGCGCAACTTTGTAGCTTGGTTCTTGGCTTAATGTGGCAAGGCCATCAAAGAAATTAGTCAGGGGGCATAAAAAAAACGTGTCCACCGCCCACAACAGCTACAAGAGATCTACACCTATTACATATGCATAATTTTGAGTGCTGCAAAAAGTCTCATAAACATATGGCCATTAGGACACTTCGACTAATGGCCCGGTTAAGCGTTTCAGTACAAGGCAGACATGCCCCGCCCCCCGGCAAGGCAGCTTAGAGGCCCAGGCCCACACAATTGCACTAGCTGCTCGTAAAACTGTGCGTTCGACCAACTTCTGCGGATGCAAGTGCTCTCGCTGTTGTTGCTCCTGATGCTGGTCATTAGGCCAGCTCCAGCTCCAACTCGAGCTTCAGCTACATTGACGACGCACACGCAGTTGAGTGATGCGCATTGGGGTCATTTGTGTCGGTGATGGGGCGTCACTTTGGGGCCAGAGCTAATTTCCATAATGTTTGCCTGGCACTGGAATAGTTCATTCACTCTGCAAATATACGAGATATGCACACACGGGTAATTTTGGAGCTGGTAATCTTGGGAGCTTGTGTGAGTACAAAGCAGCTTAAGTGAATGCCGGGTCTTAACACCTACCGACCGAGCAACAGGTAAAGTTGGTGTCCAGGCCCGGCATCTGCGCTTCACTTGTTGGCAATGGCAATTTAATGGCTCAGCAATTGCTGACCCGTCCGCTGTCTACAAAGTGGCCGTTGGCTCTCGTTGCACTTGGACTCTGATATCTGGAACTCGGAAAACATTGCACTGCACTTGGGGGCCAGCTCGGATCGGCGTTGTCGTTGTCTTTGCCAGCGCAACATGAGTATGATTTATAGTAGTTTTTGTGGCCAAGCTCAAGCAGCTTCTGCTCGGCCTGAGCCAAAGTGGTAATTCATAATGTTAGTTAGCTTTGCCTAGGGATGGACGCATGATCTGCTCGTTTTGCTGGGGATATATCGTGTGTCTATATAGTCGTGCCTTTATAGCAACATGCAAAGCACATAATTTTAGCTAAAAAACACGAGCTTTTCATTTAATCAATCAATTAAAATAATGTTGTTCACTATTAACATCAGGTGATAAAACTTTACGTTACTTATGTGAAATTAATCAACACTGAAAAGGATATACATTTTTCAACAATGTTGCAAACGGCTTAAAAATAACGGTGTATCAAAATGTTCAATATTTTTGAACAATAATGCGATCTTTTAAAATCTGTATTAATTAAAAAAAATTCTGTCTAATTTTTTTTTTTAATTTTTTATTTGTAGTATTATTATTATATTTATTATTATTATAGTTTCCAAATTTATAGCCTGGAATTTCAAATCTTTCATTCTGATCGGTATATTTTTTAAAACTTTTTAACTTGTTCGATTCCCAAGGTTCCCAAATTACCAAGAAACCAATAACAAATGCTGCAACTTGAATTGCTTTTTCTCAAATAATAATCCAACCTTGGTTGTCCATCTCCAATTGGGTCCGTTGTCTGTCCATCTTTATGTGTATCATTTTTCATGCCAGCGGCATGGATTTAGCATTATTGTATTTTATATTATTTGTGCTTAATTTGCCGAACTGCGTGCACCTGATTTCCTGAATGTTTTGACTTAACAGTGCGAAAGAGATGCAGATATAGGCAGACACAGAGAGGTGAGAGAGAGAGAGGGAGAGAGGATTTGGCTAGTCTGTGCTTTGCCGCCGGGCCGCATCTGCATCATCTCCTGCGCTCCTCGTTCTCGCAGACAAGTTCGTTAATTTGACGCTCGCACCTCGTTCGCATAAATTTCCCAAGTACCCGTTGGGGAGGGGGAGCTGGGGTGTGGCAACACTCCGGTACCTCTACGTCTGTCTGGTTTGGTGGGCAGTGGCTGGTGTTGCAT